GGGGGAAAAGAGGAAGGGGTCTGCAATGAAACCGGAAATCCTCACTCCCTGGAATTCCACTACCTTTAAATAGGAATGGAAAACACTTGCAAAAATATTCAAAAAATGGTTTTTAGAAAGTGTTCCAAAAAAAGGAACAGGAAGTAAGACCGGACTTTTAAGCATGTGTGTGTTTGAAAAAGCAAGCCTGGCAAACCTGGCTGTGAGGTGGGACGGTGGGTGACTTTTAAAAGTTTTACCAAGAGAGATTGCTGGAAGCTCATAAACAGAGCCATGTCTAGCCTGCTAAAGGAAAAGAGAAAGGACAATAAGAGCGGGGTGGGAAGAGGGGAAAAGAGAGATAAAGAAGGAAAGAAAGAAGCCCCCTTGACCTTGGTACGTCTCTTTGGCATCTGCCCATGATGCTATAAAGCCCAAAAAAAGAGATGGAGAAGAGGAGAGGAGAGGGAGCTCAGAGTCCCTTCTGGCTGCAATTGAGCTCCTTGTCTTTGGCGAATCACATCTACATTTCTGGAAGATTACATGTTCACAGCTGCAGAGCTAACAGTAATTAGAAAAACCATGAGACCAGGAGAATAGAAGGAGCGGGCCAGAGATAATGAATCTCTCTGTGTCTCACAGAGACACCCAAGGAAGTGGCATTGTTCACCTAGAAAAGAAAGTCCAACCCTGCACATTTCTGGAGGCAGAATCTGAACACGCAGCTCTCCTTGCAGGAAGGGGCTGAACACTCACCACCACCACCACCACCTTCATCTTTATTTGTACCCTGCCATTTCCCCAGGTTGGAAATCAAGGTGGTTGCCATTTAAAACAGGTATAATATGGTTAAAACCATACTGAGGTCACCACAGAAATCATAGACTTGCAGCATCTTAAGTGTTGTAGGGGCACAAGGCCCCTCTGGACCAGGAACGTACAATGGAAACACTCCTGAGAGATGGCTTTCCATCCATCCTTCTTCTGTTTAAAAGCCTCCAAAGAGGAAGTCCTCCAAACAATCTTGACTGGGTGACCAAATGGGGAGCCCATGGGCTGGGGTGCCTCTTCCCAGGGCAAGGCCAATGGAGAGTGGCCCCCAAAAGACAGTGCAGAACCAAACTGAGAAACTTAAAGCGTGACCCATTTCTGCAGCAACAGAGGAAACCTCACTTCCCTGGTCTGCTCCAAGCCTCCATATCTCTTCTCATCTCCAGCCAACAAAGTGGATGCAGAAAGTATCCAGCAAGGTCATGGATACAAATGAACCCTTTCTTCATCACTGGACAGTGTTGACCATTTGGCCATGAGGCTAATAGGGACTCCAAAATCCATCCGGCAAAACTCTCCTGGGAGAGGCCAAAGTACCTCCCTTGCCCAATGGCCCTTCTGGCGTGGGAGTCCCCGGTTGCTCCTGCTGCCTTTGCTTTGAACCTCTGCTTTTCAGCTCTGCATCTGTTCTGTGGGAGGGGGAGATGATAGAATTAGTGGGAAATGATTATAAAGTAGCTGTAAGGCTTACGGAGATGTTTAGTGCAGAGCTTGTCAAACATGCAAAGTGATATATACAAATGCCAAAATGGGGAGGATGGAGCAGTTGAATGGTCCATCAGAAAGCCACAAACTGGAGAGCGTTGTCTGGTGAAGATGAGCGGTCAATTGCAGAGAGCCAAGACAGTGTGTGTGTGTGTGTGTATTTTCACTGAGAAAGGAAGCACAGCCATTAAAGACTGATGTTATTACAGAAGGCTCCCAGGGAACTTCCAAAGAGCAGCCAAGAAAGCTGGGAGGTAATCATGGATCCTTCGTGTGGATCCCCAGCTGCCAGGATCCCCCATTGACCCCTTTGGCCTTGGCACCAGCCCAGGAACCGGAGTGTGGCTTGACCACTGTCTACTGGCTAATGCCATTTGGGGTTTCAAGACCAATCCAGACACAGCAAAGTAGCAGCTGGAGTGAAGACCATCTGCTCATTTCCAGAGGAGAGGAAGGAGAAAACTTATGGGGAGTTAGCTAATGCAGCTGTTTGCTGGGCTGCAATCTGGATAATAAGGAAACCCAGGTGAAATGGGGCAGGGAAGCTGCAGTTATGATCAAAATAAACGATGAGAACGGGCAGAAGATGACACTTCACTTTAAGATACCACAGTTCTGCTAAGTACTCCAGAGGCACCAGATCCCACCGGATCTTAGAAGCTAAGCAGTGTGGGCCCTGGTTAGCACTTTAATGGGAATCCCAGGTGCTATAAGGTGATATTTCAGAGGAAGGAACTGGCCAAACCACCTCTGAGTTTTCCTTGCTTAGAAAAACCCTGTGAAATCTTTGATGTCACCATAAGTTGACAGATGACTTGAAGGCACACACACACACACACACTTTTTTTGGAAGAGGAGTTTTGGAAGACCTTTTTGGTTCCATGAAGAACAGGAATGGCCCATAGATGGCTGTGTCCTGCCCTTGAGGTGTGGGCTGCTATTCCACACTTATGCTTGCCTGGGGGAAATTCCAGTTGAAATTCAATGGGATTTTCTCAATAGGAACAGCCATTTCGTATTGCCCTGTTAATCTCAATGGGGAGTTTAATCATGCAGGTAGCACATGGGTTTTTCTTGGCAAGATTTGTTCAGGGGGGGATTGCCATTGCCATCCTCCAGGTTAAACAAGTGCAGTTTCAGCACTGTTTGCAGAAACTGAAGAAAGCAGAGGACAAAGGTGGAAAGTGGGAGGAGGAGATGGAAATGGAGACATTTTAAAAGCATCTGAAAAAGTGGGATGGCAGAGGACTTTCTTCAAATCTGGTGGCTCTTGTGGGGGGGACCTCACCCCAAAAACTGTGCAAAGAGAAGGAGTCTGAGGGGGCACAGCTTCCTTCTTGGGGACCCTCATGGCTCTAGGAAGGGGTCTCTCACTGTGCCTCCTCCTCCTCCTCCTCCTCGATAGTGGCTTTGTTTCCAAATGGCCTGAGAACCTCTTGCAAGGAAAGACTTTCTTTCTCCCCCCCCCCCTTTGCTGCAATGTAATACTTAAATGCTCACTCAATACATTTCTTTCCCTTTCCCCTTTGCAGTCTCCTTCACTTTGACTGTCACAGCTTGATGGACAGCTCTGCAGTTTAGGTGTTAGAAGGATGTTATGCCCAGATTTTTAAATAAATACTCAGCTCTCTTGATGGATGCTTCAGCTTTGGGAGATGCCCTGGGAACTGGCAGCAGCAGCTGCTGGAGCTTTAAGAGGAAGGTCTTGACTGAAGTTGGAGCCAAGACTCAGCTTCAAAGTTCAGAATTCAGGTTTGCTCAACATATAAATACACACACACACACACATAGGGGAAAGAGTGTTTCTGTCTGCATTTTGACAAAGAGCCAAAAGAAAATTGACCAAAGGGGAAGCGACTGTGTTGCTAGGGAGACCCTGGATCAGGGCTTTCCATAATATACATCATGGTGTTGTATAGCGTTTTAATGTGATGTTTTTAAAATTTGTCTAGAACTTTTTGTAACATTTTAATGTGTTATGGAAGGCATCTTGGATCTTGGCCTGGGAGAAACACAGCATATAAATTAAGTAAATAAATTATTATTACTGGCAATGAAATTTAGATGACAAACATCTAGGGCAGCACCCAGGAGGACTTTTTGGATGGAGTGGCACATGGAAGAGTAAACTTTTTGGAATTGGACGGTGTCAAGGAAAGAGAGGAGATGAGGGTGACCATGACCATCAACATACATGGACTTTCACA